CTGGCTGACCACTCTGCTCTCAGCTCTAATAGGACCAGTTATTCTCTTCTTACTTGATTTAACCATTGGACCATATATTATAAGGTACCTACTACATCACATCCAGGACCGATTTCAAGCTGTTAAAATGCTTATACTTAAGCAAGAAGAATATAGCCCGTTACCCACACATGGTTATGCAATAGAGTCAAAGATTTAACTCAATGACATAAAGCAGTGGGGAAATGTTATAAGCTCAGAAACTCAAAATGTGATGTATTTATTACTTATTGTGCCTTTATAACCTGTTCTCTTTCTGTAAACCTTGTGTAATAGCTGTTTAACTTGCAATCTTGCAACACATCCACCATGTAATTCTCTCCCTGCCTTCCTGGTTCCTGTAAGACCCTGACCCCTCCCCTTGTGATTTGCTGCTTTTCTTGGAAGACCAAATTACCTTTTATGGAGACAAGCTGATCTTAAGATCCTGACCCCTCCCCTTGCAGTTTGCTGGTTTTTAAACCACTGCAGCCCTTTGCTTAGGGCACACTTCCCTGACTGATCCCTGGGACAGTGTCACCCACTGAGCTCAGCTAATAAAGTGCTTTCTTTTTCATTTTTGGAGTCCTGTCATTTTTAGCCATCACATGTAGTCCAGGCAGGCCTTGAATGCATAGCAATCTCCCTGTGTCAACTTGCAAAGTGCTGTGATCATAGGCATGTATCACCACACCCAGCGTGCTGTGAAATCATTCTTCAAAAGTGAAGGAGAAATAAATACTCAAATAACAAAACAGGAACTAAGATGCCAGCAGACTTACCTTTTAAGGAATGTTAAAACAAGATCAAAACAAGATGTGGAGTATAGTGGTACATACTTGCAATGTCAGCACTTGGCAAACTGAACCACTGAGTATCACGTTGAATTTGAGGCCAGGCTGGGCTACAAAATGAGTCCAGGGCTAGCTTGAAGTACACAGTGAAACCCTCTCTCAAAACACCAAAAATCAAACCAAAACAAAAAAACAAAGAAGCAGCTGTGTATGGTGATGCATCCCTATATATGCATCCCAAGCACTCTGTGAGGCTGTGGAAGAAGAAACACAAATTTGAACTCCATCTGGGCAACTTAATAAGACTCTGAAGGATGATGATGCTGATGAAGAAATAATAATACTGATATGATAAGAAATGAGAGAAAATGAAATGGAATCTGTAAAATGCCCAATTAAACCAAAAAAAGGAAGAAAACTGCTGAAAAATGAAAATAAACTTGAGAACAGTAGTGAAACAGGGAATGGTAAACTGGCTAGGTGAATGGGTCTGACCTGTAGATCAGAGTTCCAGGTCACATGCACAGAACACATCTCAAAGCCCTATACCTGGAACCAATCAGAGAGTAGTATCTTCAATTTTACTTGTGAGAACTTCAGTAGGTTTTGACAGGAGGGGCTAGTCTTGATGTCAGCCTGAAGAGTAGAAGATACGAAACATGGCTACCACTAAGCTCTCAACCATGGTGTTCTCTTTCCCAGGGGTTTGCTCTCACTCTATAGAATGTACTGCTTTTATCAGTTACATTTGTAACTTGCTGTGCAGAGCATGTTTCTTTTTTTTCTTTTGATATCTTTAGTAAACATAAAATCTTGCTATCTTCTGTGCTATTCTTGACTTATTCTTTATTCAGCACAGAAAGAACCTAAAAAATTCTATAGAAAGAAACTCCAAAACCCCATTAACAGTAGCAAATATGGTAAGTATTAATCCAACTATATCAATAACCACAGGTGTCAATGGTCTAAAGACAATATCAATTAAGACTGTCAGAGTAAACCAAAAGAAAGCAGGAATAGACATTATTAATTTCAGGTAAAACAGCAAGGAAAGTTATTAGGGATAAAAGAAGGCTTTACATAATGATCAAGAAGTCAGTACTTCAAGAGAACATAATTTTTTTTTGAGGCAGGGTCTTGCAATATAGTTTAAAATGGTCACGATCTTACTATATAGCCCAGGGTAGCCTCAACCTGACAGCAATGGTTTTGCCTCAGTCTCCTGAGTATTGGTAATATAGGTGAAAACCACCATGTTGGGCTTGGACTAAATAATTCTTAATTTTTATGTGTCTAAAAACAAAAGATCAAAATATACAAGGGCAAAACCACAGGATTGGATAATTCCATGACAGCAGAGACTTTAAACATGTTTAAACTGGCTTGAACCATCAGTGGTACACACAACCATCCCATCGGGTGGCTTGAGCCATTAAGTAGTACAAACAGGTCTAATCATTTTTATTGGTCCTTTTATTAATAAAATAATTAAAAATTAAAGCATTAAAAAATTCTGGACCAAATCTAGTTAGTTGCTTAAATTTGAATAATTATTGCCCAAATATACATATTAATACTATTCATACCAATTAAAATTATTATAATAATCAACAAATTTATTCCATTAAATTAAAAGAAATTTATACTCATGAATAGCTTATCAGTTAAATATATAAATTTTAACATGGAAATCTTACAAGTGCCCCATTGCTGGTGTACATAATATGCATTTAGAACTGCTGTACTCCAAATCTCTATATCATTTTCATGTTTTCCTTAAAGAACTAATATGATAACATCTGATTTGCTAAATAAATGTCTTTCATAAGTGTAATCAAAGGCTCCCTGAGAACTAGTACAAGCTGTCTGATGGGACAGTCCATGCATTTACTACCAATGGGTCAGGCCAGTAGGAATGACTGAATTCAAATCAGGCCCTCCAACAGGGACAAATACAAATTATAGCCCTATTATGAATGCATTAGCACTCCTCTATCAGAAGTAGGCAGCTGGCATGGTGGCAAATACCTATAATCCCAGCACTAAGGCTAAGGCAGGTGGATCACTTTTCAAGGCCAGCCTGAGCTACATAGGTAAAACCCTGCCTCAAAAAAAAAAAGTGTGAAGCAATTCACTACATTGCCTGCCCCAACTGAGTATAGCAAAACTAATAAAGAAACCAGAGTTAAACTGTATGATAAACAAATGAACTTAACATGTACAGAATATTCTATCTAATAACTACATAATATATATCTTTTCAGTAGCTAAAAAATGATGATGCTAACATTTGTGAAATACTAAGCATATTAACTCAAAGAGTTACCTTCAAAGGACCCAAGCAGGCTCAAATGGTTAAATAATGTTCACAATCAAAAGCATAAACCCTTGAGCTGGAAAGATTTAGTCTAAACTCTGTCAGAACTCAAAATAGAGAAATAATCATTTTAGAGAAGAGTGGCCAATAGTAAGTACTGTCTAGCATTCATATTACAATTGTGAAACAACTATGTACAAAGCCTAGATGAGACAAATTTATTCCTGAATGAGGAAAAAGCCGAGGGAAGACAGGCTAGGTTTTACAAATTTCTAGGACAAGGAGCTATTTACCTAATCCAGAACCCAATCTACTTACTGGAGGAAACTATCTAAACATGATAAACTCCCTTTGTTTCAAAACATGAGATATGTTTCCATCTCTTTAAAAACCCTGTGCTTATGCTGGTATCTTCTAATGTGACAGCCACTGTTTAAAATGAGATCCTTCTCTTGAGGAAAAAGTTTATTTATAGAATCCCAAGATTCTCAGGAAGCTCACAACTAATCTACATGCATTTACTTTCTTCTTTCAAAGACTCACTGAATGGTGAGAAGAAAACAAAACAAGAGAAATAGACCTGTTTTATTAAGCTAGATGCTGACCTGTTTTACTGTACCCTTTCACTGGCAAAAATTATAAGGTCCTGCTTTAGGACAGTAGCACCCATGGGTTATGAAACCCAAGCACAAGTTCTGAATTGTTTCCAATGATCCCAAGTCTTCTCTGAAAGAGTTTTGACTCAGGCTGGACATTGTAGCTGGTAAAGCCAAGGAGCTCCTATCTCCCCCACTCTTAGGAATCAACCTCTGGTGCCAAACTAAGACCAATGGGCTACCTGTGCATCCCTAATGCCCCCCTTAGGTTCCACCCCAAACCTAAACTACATGTATGCCTTCATTCCACGTGTTCCAGGGAGAGATGCCATGCCCCAGGGTGGAGATGACATGCCCCAGGGGGTCAGGGGTGTCTCTCCCTGCATTCTCAAAATAAAGATCATTTATATTTCATACTTCTTATCTTTTCAGCCGTATCGGTCCACCACAGTTCTATCATTCTCCATTTCTATTAACTCTAGGTTCAAAACTGCTATAAACAGTGTAGCAACAAACAGCATAGCAATAAACAGTCAAATGGTGTAGTAGTCCTTTATGTAAAGCTGGGTTTGTATCCCACAGGATACAAGAATACAGCTTTATACCCAAAGACACGCCAATTCACATGAGTTTTTCTGCCCCTGCCTTGGAAGCAACGTGTGCTTGAGTTGATAGAATTCTATAATTTTTATATATTACTCATTTGGATGCATGTAAGAATTAGATCTTTCATTAGAAGCCCATATTCTAGATGGAGCAAAAATTAAATGCAAGAAGTCATGCACTTCAATTCCAACATGTAAAATCAATGTCGTTATAAAACAAGTAATTCTTCTAATTTTATTTCCTCCTCCCAGTTTAACACAGGACAGTTAACCAGAGCCATGAGACAAAAACACTGTGAACCATGTTTCTTGGGCACAGTAGGACAAAACATTACTGGACCCTCATCACGTGCCCCAAAATGCTTGGGGCTGTAACACAGCATAACACACTAGAACTGAGGTTACACAGAATATACCCCTGGCCCAACTGTGCGTACAAGACTAAAAGAAATGCTGAGAGGACAAACAAAGAAACAGCTTATGTTTCTTTATAACTAAAGTAAAGTAAAAACATTCTGCTACACAAAGAAACAAACCCAGAAATCTGTAAGCTTTAGTCAGTCAAGTGACGTGACAACATAATTTACTGCATCTGCACAAAGTAATAATTAGGAAAGATGTCTGGTATCTGTGAACACTTTTAAAAACATCTTAACCTGCAGGCACTCACCTGTGTGGCCATGGAGAGGGGAGTGCGGTCGTGGTAGTGTAGGTGATGTGTTAGAGGTTACAATCAAGCTCTTACGGTTACTTGTCCGACAACTGCAATGAAATAAAAATGTCAGTTATCAAAGGGTCACACCACTGACTTAGAGATTTTAAGAATGGGATTGGCAATTAATATTTGAACAAATTTAATTCTACAATTTAGTGTGTTCTATCTTGGGATATTTTTTTCTTGCTGCCTTGACTGCTGTCTTACATTGTCACTGTGCTTCCTTAAACAGATACAAGGAATTAAGTAAACGCCCCAACCGCGTTTTTGTCTAGGGGTTTTACTATGCTTTCCAAGCTGATGTTGAACTTGTGGTTCTCCTGCTTCATCAGCCTGAGTTGCTGGAATTATAGACATGTACCTGCTTATCACTGCATTTAGAAAATAACAATGTTTTAAATGACTTCTAATGAAGAATGCATATTCTAAATTTTATTTTTAAACACAAGTCAAAATATTCTCTCAGCTAGGGGTAAAGGTCAGTGGTAGAATATTTACAATACTCAGGTGTGAACCCTCCAGCATCAAACAAAGAAACCCCAAAATCTTTTCTTTCATAAAATTATTTTTCCATAAAGAATCAAACTGTTAATTTAACAGGTAATTTTAAATAACTGTTAATTTGAGAAGCTATTCTCATTTCACCATAAATTTTAGAACAGGTCTAAATTTCTTCTATCAAACTAACTCTGTTACATGTTAATCCCTGAGGTTTTCTTCTATGGTTGCAGAACACCAGATCATTATGAAAAGCTGCTTCATGCAACATCTGTTTAGCAAAATGTTCGTGTACATTTATTTGAAGTTTGGCATGGAAGCATACACATATAGTCACAGCATTCTTGGAGGCTGAGGCAGGAGACTCATATGTACAAGCCCAGCTTGGGCAACTTACACTTAGTCATATCCTGTCTCAAAATAAAAAATAAAGAAGGGCTGCGATATAGCTCAATACAAAAGCACAAAAACCTTGAGCTCAAGTCTCAGGATGTGCAAGTGTGCATGCATACACACACAAACACACACACACACTTCTACCTATTTTAAAAACACACTATAGAGAAATTTTGACATTTATAATCATCCAAATAAATATTTATTGGTTACTTTCTAAGTTCTAGGTTACTAAGAAAGCAGTATAGATTAAGAGAAAGTTTCTGTAATCATTGGAGTGGATAATGCTATAGGAAAAGAAGCAAAAGTAAAAAGCAATGGGAAAACAGAAAAAGGAGGAAATGAGAGACTTAAATGGGAATAGAAGCTGTAGCATCAATGGGAACTTTGATTAAGATGGCAACATCTCAACAGAGAACTGAATGATACGAATACCCAGACTTAAGAATATCTGGGAGGCAGGGGGAAAAGATAAGGTGAAGGTAATTAAATAGAAACCAATTTGGAATGACTAAGAAATAGTGAAGAAAAATGGGTAGCAGGAGAGAAGAATGCTATAAAAACACAGGTCATAGAAACTATGGTATAGGTCACAGCTACATCCTGTAAGTCTGGTAGACAATAATAAGAAACTACTGGAACTGTGACAAGAAACTACCTGAAGGATTGAGACTCATTTTAAGAAAGAGATTATGATTTAAAAAACAATAACCCAGGGGCTGGGGATTTAGCTCAGTGTCATAAGCACCTGCCTTGCAAGCAGGCGGTCGTGAGTTCGATCCCTGGTACCGATAAAAAGAAAAAAAAAAAAAAACAAAACCAATAACCCAGTTTCCTGTAAGAAATCGTCTGGAGAAGTTCCAGATCCAATTACCTGGTATACTATCAAAGTTTCTCTCCTGTCTCTCCCCACCCACCTTGCCCCATTCTTTTGAGATAAGGTCTACCTATATAGTTCAGGCTGGCCTTGAACCCATGGCTATCCTCTTGCCTAAACCTCCTGATTTCTGGGATTACAGGCACGTGCCATCACATCAGTCCTGGAGTTTTCCACAACTCCTGGATCTTTCAGAAGAGCTTATAGTAGGCCTCTCTAATTGAGGTCCCCCTATATCCTCAATTTCTTTTTAAACATTTGTGTTCAATTCTCGCTGTAAGCAAAATTTCATTATTACTCAGGACACTACAAGGTAAAGAAGATTAGCACAAGATTTCATTTGTTGTTAGGTTTCATATAAATGCAGTTATATATTGTGTGTCTGGTAAAGCCCCAACCTGTAAAAACTCAAATTTCCATCTAATTTGCAACTGCATCTAGGGATTGTGAAGGACTAAAGAAAAATCCAGAATTGGGCCTTGTGATCTCTTTATATTTACAGTATAAACATCAAATGGGTTCTACCAACCCTTTACTAAATGTATCTGCTTATCAATTTATCTGCTTACACTCCAAGAAAATTAATTCACATCTTCTCCTCAAACTTCTAGTACACTATTGTAGGGAACCACCCAAACAACTTTCCTTGAAAGAAGAGCAATTTGGATAAACTTGACCCTGGCTCTATGTATTGATATATACAGAGCTGGTTAGGTCATTTCTTTGTGCCTTCAATGGGCTTTAAGCAGTAGAAACCTGGCTGGCTGAGGAGTTGATGTGTAACTTTTGAAGTAAGGCCACAGGTCAGTGTTACATCTTCTAGTGACTCCCCAAATATGTGGTTGAGCCAGGCTGGATAGTGAGCACTGTTCCATACTGTTCCCTGGGACTGAACCTCGAGAAAGAGGCTATAACTTCCCAGGACAAAAAGGATTGTATATCAGAACTTAAGCACACTTCAGAACAGAAGCATGAATCCCAAATTATTAGATACTATCTTAGTTGTATTATGCAGATTACTCTCTGCATTTCTTGCCTTCTGCATCACAGAGGTGATCTCAGACCTCTTACCTGGCCCGGCTCACAGCAGTCATGTATTTCTCACCATTCTCACTGATCCCCAAGTCACTCCCCTCATTATGAATTAATAAAAACCAAGTTGGGCCTAGGTCGTGATCTTTGTTCTCGTAAATCACCATCTTGGCTGGACTTAGGACCCTTTGGCCCCCCCATAACCTTGTCTTAGTGTCTTTACTCTCACTATTACAGGCAGCTGAGTTAGTCAGACAGGGCTGGGCCCTCAAAGAAGCCAGTGCAGAGAGGTTCAGATACCTTGTGACCTCTGAGGAGACAGACACCTCCTGCTGTGGGCTAGATCTCAAGACAAAAGGCAAACCAAATACAACCACATCTTAAGGTTTAAATAGTTCTCTGTCACCCTGAGGAAGTCAAGTCAGCATCCCAACCTCTACAAGAAGAGTCACTGCTGTTAAGCATCCCTGGTTACTACGTGACCCGCTTCCTCATTTGTTCCCAATCTAATCAATTTTACCTGAGCAGTTAATCTTATTGGAGGACCACAGTTCTGTCCCATTTTATGACCACCTTGCAGGTTCCCATTTTTCCACACTGTGGACTCATCTAAGTGGGTCCACATATAGACCACATAAGTGGGTCCCATGTAGAGTAAAATCAAGTGCTCCAGATTTTACTCTATAAAAGCCTCTAGAAAAGAAAAAGTCCCTGGCAAACTGCTTGGGACTCCTTATGTATCTCAGACAGAAGCTTTCTTTCTCTCAATAAATATATTCCATTCTTAACCTCCATTGTTCCTAAAATTTATTCTTTGATTTTTGTACTGTACATCTAGTAGGTTGGGAGTTTCATTCCCCTGTATCATCACCTTGGGTTGCACTGCAAGTGGTAGACTGGAATTAACTCATAGTTTCTCCATGGAATTATAAATACAGACTTCCCAGACAGAGACCATATCCAGAAAAGGGCTCAGTACACACTATCCCAAATCTCATCCTCAATTGCCAACTCTGTTAATTATTTATTTGATTTCTGAGATGGAGTCTCACTAAGTAGGCAGGCTGGCCTTGAATTTGCTTATGTAGCCCACGTTAGCCTCAAACTCATGGTGATCCTCTTGCCTCAGCCTCCCAAGTACTGGGATTACAGGTGTGTGCTACCACACTTGCCTTCTGCTTTTCATTTAACCCAGGGGAAAGGGTGGGGGGGGGTCATGCAAAGAGAATTACTATATATGCTCTCTACAAAAATCTACTAGTCTACCAGTACCTGTATCCACATATTCTACTTTCCACTGAAAAGTGAGACCCAAATCAATAGCCTCCATTCTCCTATTCAGTCTTCTTCCTACTACCTCCTTCACCATAACTTCTATTTTTTATTGAATGACTCTTATTATCCTAAAGACATGCTAACATTTCTGCCATTGAAAAAAAGTGGGGATGGGGGGCTTTCAAACTCTTACACACATTTCTTCATTTCCCTATTTACCCTACTTAGAAAATATTGCATATAGGCATTTGGGCTTATTATACTCTCTATTTTCTTTTTAGCTAACATCAGGCATATATCTCTACCTTACCATTAAAACTACTATTATCAAGATCAATACCTATGAAAATTAATTCTCCATTCTAATATAAATTCTCAACATCATTTGACAGCTTTAACTCTTGTTCTTTTTGAAAAAAAACTAGAATATAATTTATATTCAATAAAATACACAGATCTTATGTATTCTGCTCAATGGTCCTTGACCACTAAATTTATTCCTGTAACAATAGCCCAAATAATAGAATATTTTTAACACCCCACAGAATTCCCTTGTGCCCCTTTCTAGTCATTCACTGCCTTCTTCCACTTGTAAACAATTGCTTCTATCACCATGTATTAATTTGGTTTGCTACTGGATTTTGTATAACTGTAATTTTATACTATATCCTGAAAGGTTTCTGCCCCAGTATAAATTACAGGACATTATGGTGGTGGTCTAACATGGCAGAAGGCCAAAGCAAAAACAACACTTACCCTGACAACCACTTCCTTCTCCTTCCCCTTCAGCCCTGATTATAACTTTCTCTTTTCTTTTCCTAGATGTGAAGAGAATTCACTGGGTTCCTTGAGTGTCATCAATGCTTTCCACAAGTGCTGCTTCTAGTCAGAGGTCACATAATCCTCGGCCCTCTCTGTATCTGGCAGAGAAGAAAGCCCAACCCCACGAGTGGAACGCTCTTCTCAACA